ACAACTGGGGAAAGGGGCCACTTCTACCCTCATGTGAGGCTGAAACCACCCATTTAAGAGCAGGGCCGGCTCCAAGTTTTTTGCCGGAGTGCCGCCCCTTGAAAAATGCCGCCCCAAGCACATGCTTAGGAGGCTGGTGCCTAGAGCCGGCCTTGTTTAAGAGTCAGATTGCGTTAATTAGAACCCAGCAAACTGTCCCTGCAGCCCCTATGTCTGCCTAAAAAACCAGCCCCAATGGTACAAATAATAAAAAGCAACATACTTTGCAAGGGGTCTTCGTCTCCCAGTTTCTCATCCTGAACCTGCTCATCTGCCATCTCCAAAGCTTGGGACTCTCTAAACTGGGCCTCGGTACCAAGCATAGTCTTGGGCATCTCCCAATCCAGCTCCTCCTCCTGGGTCCTTGCTGAAGACATGAAGCTGGTGTTCTCTTTCTTCTCCTCCACATCTTGGTCCCTCACCATCATAGTATACAGAGTGCCTCCATACTATCAAGCAGCAAGAACTTGGTTCAGTGCATCTGACTGGGCGGTTTGCCTCCATGCCAGCTGCTACTTTGGACCTTGTTATATTGCAACTTCAGCCCTTTAATATTTTCATAGCACTGTGTGCTATCCTGAGCAACGCTCTGCTTGGTAAGACATTTAGATACCCAGTCACAAAGTTCAGCTCCAACTGGATCACCTTGCCATCAGTACCTGCACATCCGCCTCTTGCCAGCTGGCAACACGCATAGAAAGTGTTTTTCTAAGACATTAGACATCTTGATAAAGAAGTGGACCTCAGGACAATATCATTTCTGGAGAAGTTGAGGTTGGCAAAATAGCATACAAATGAACAGTGTATGCAGCACTTGGTATAAAGGTTTCTGGAAAATGTAACCTGGGATAGTAGAGTACAGGCCATCCACACAGTTGACTTGTACAGTGCAATGGTGTCAGGAGGACTATTTTCACCGTAGGGACTATTACTCCAGCACTAGCCATCTGCACCAGCACTGAACTGGTGGAGATTGTTTACAGAGGCCCGCCGTGCAGCGATTAGCTTTGCTGAAAACAAATGAATATTGCAGAATATAGCATTTGCCTGTGCACCACTGAGAGAAACTGCATAAGCCCATGAGACATACAGAAATGCCTGTGGGATATGCATTGATTACCATTCCCAAATTTTCTATATTCCCAAGGTCCAGTTGGAACTCTCCTTTCTATCCAGAATATGGTGGTGGAGGGACAACAAAAATACCCCCATACCTTACAATGATGCCCCACAGACATGGTTACAGAGATTACAAACAGTTGCACATGGTACCAACTGGTCCACAGTAGCTGAGAATAGCTGCAATAAAATAGGTTTTCTTTATGATGGAAAAGATAGGCGTGCTCAGACCCTCATTGGGATAAGGAAGTGAATGACGAGAGCCTTCTTGGACTTGACCCAAATCCCACTGAAGTGAATGGAGAGACTCCCATTCACTTTAGTGGACTTTAGAATGGGGCCGAACTGAGGAGAGGTCAGTGGGGCAAAATATGAATTGGCTACTCAAGCTGTTCTTGCACTTACTCTAAAAATATGGAAGACCAGCACTGACACTTGAAAAAAACAATGGAGATACCAAGTAACTCAGCTTGATTGTAGTTCGCTACTTTATACAATCCCCATATGTGTGACGTGCAACACACACACACACACACACACACACACACACACACACAGATGACAGACTAAGAAAAGCTTGACTATTCTCTCTCTTCTGACAATCAAAGGCTAAGCTATATATAGTCTCTCATTTCACATCAGTTTTCTAAACTAGCAAATAGTGCTTCATAAGCATCCCAAGGAATCTATAGTAAACAAGTCTTTTCATGGATCAGATGCATAACAAATATGACACTGGCATCCAAGGAAAGGGAAACACCATTTATTTCCTCCCCACACAACACCCAGTAGCTCTTAACTAATCTTCTCAAGCAGTGCTTCAAATGAATGTGTAATAGGCAGTGGTGCCCACCCCTCACTAATGCAAAACCAACTCTATCAACCTCCACTTTAGCACAGAACTTTGTGTTCTGAGCTTAATCCATTCAGAGAACATCCCACTACTGCAAAAGATATATCCTCTGCACCTAATCAAATGCTTTTTCTCCATCAAATGATAGCAACAGCAGCCGAGTCCCAGTAGATGAGGCTAGTGGATCAAATTTAGTCAATCATCATCAGAGGAACATATGTGCTTAACAAAACCCTTTCTGATCTTCGTAGATGAGATACAGTAGCCCTCCTACAACCTGCTAGCTGGTCTTAAGTAATGAAACTTAATAACAAGACTCCACACCAAGGGTCTGCCATTTTTTAAAATAGGAAACAATACTGATATAAGCTTCCGTTGCAGATGGGAGAGGAAATTTAGTCATCATTGTGTGAGGGAACAATTGTGTGAGGGAACCATGAACATTGGCTATTCTCCCCTATGTCCCCCCCCCCCCCCAAAATCAAAGAATAAAATAAACTAATTAAGCTTGAAACTTCTAAATTAAGCCCCTTTTTTAAATAGCAAGAACTGCTACAGTTTAATGCACTTCTGTCGTCTTTGGCTTTAAATGCTATTTTCCACAAGGAGCAAAAACCCAAAACACTAAGAAAATTACAACAATTAAAAAGTGTATTTTATACCATAAATCCTGAACAGCAGCAAAGGAGCATTTTATAACATCAACATGGAAGGAGGGGGGACAGCACGAATTGAAGCCAAGTCACACGTACAAAACTCCCCTTCACTATCTGTTCTCTCTCCACTACAGTTCCCATGGTGTATAATGCACTCCCACTAGTAACAACAAAGCGATACTAACATCCTATTCACTGAAACTACAAAATGTTATACTAAAGCATGAATGAAATGTTAGAAGTCCCATTTTTTTGTCATCCATGTTAGATGCTAAAAGCCACTTACATTTCTTAATTAAAACAACATTCACAGGCAATAATTAAGTCAATGTTTCCATTATAAAGCCATCTTTCCACAGGCTGGAAAACTTGCTACAGCTGACCTGTCAGAAAGAAAAATCCAAGCCATAGAATGTTTTAATCAACAAATCTGAAAAAAAGAGGATGAAGCAGCAGTTGCACTTTTGCTTTTTCCTAATAGCTTTCTTTAAAGCTTAAAAACTATCATTGCTTAATCCATAATATTGCTTTTGCTACTGTTCAGATCACCTGTATTTACAGTAGAACCTCAGAGTTACAAACACAGCAGGAATGGAGTTTATTAGTAACTCTGAAATGTTTGTAACTCTGAACAAAACATTATGGTTGTTCTTTCAAAAGTTTACAACTGAACATTAACTTAATACAGCTTTGAAACTTTACTATGCAGAGGAAAAATGCCGCTTTCCCCCCCTTTTTTTTTTTTTTTTTTTTTTTAAGTAGTTTACATTTAACACCGTACTGTATTTGCCTTTTTTGGTCTCTGCTGCTGCCTGATTGCATACTTACAGTTCCAAATGAGGCGTGTGGTTGACTGATGAGTTCATAACGCTGGTGTCCATAACTCTGAGATTCTCCTGTATGAACTTACGCAGAGCCATTGGGGTTTGCATGTACAATTATCTATTATCTAAGCTAGCCATTACTAGCTGGTTGCCAGAATGTGCCAGTAGTAAGTACTAGCCCTTAGTCAAAGTCACCACTTGCAACGACTCCCGCTGGCCGTTCTGGGAATTAGCTCTGCCAGCTTGCACTCTCCTTCCAGTGCGTCTTCCCCCCATCCTGTCTCAGGCCTTGTCTACACTACAGGGGAAATTCGATCTAAGCTACGCAATTTGAGTAACGTGAATAGAGTAACTCAGATCGACATAGCTTGGATTTACTTACCGTGGGGTACACATTATGCGATGTCTATGGGAGACACTCTCCCGTCGACTCCCCCTACTCTTCTTGATCCGGTGGAGTACAGGAGTAGACCGGAGAGAGATCTGCAGTCAATTTAGCGGGTCTTCACTAGACCCACTAAATCGACCGCCGATGCATTGATCGCCGCTCGTGGATCCCCCGTTAAGTGTAGACAAGCCCTCAGTCTGCAGCCCTGAATATGCAGCCTACTCTTCGTGGCTTGGCCCTCTGGCCAGGTCACTAAGGTCCTCCTCTTCCAGGGAATTCACAGTCTTTCCAGACCTGCTGTCTAGCTGGCACCTCCAATGCCCTGGCTACTCCCCAGGCCCACTCTCTGCACTGAGTTCCAGCCCAGGGACCCTCAGCTCAGCAGTCCTGGACTTTCCTTTCCTAACCCTCACTCCTCGTTCCCTGTACTGCTTCCTACCATTGGTTCCCCTTCTCTCTCTGGGTCTACCAATTCCTAAACCCTCCTCCCTCTCTCCAGGGTATGACTACATCCAATGCACTCTGCAGTCTCCAAACACTGCTCCCGCTTTGCAGGAAGAGACTGCCCTTGCCCAGCAGCAGCCTTGCCCAGCAACAGTGACCTCTATCTGCAGCGAGCTACCTGGCTTTATAAGGGCCCCATCTGTTCCTGCACAGCCTGTTCCTCTAATTAGGGCTTTCTTCTTAGCCTCCAATCTACTAGGTTAATTGGCCCATCTGGCCTCCATTAACCCCTTCCACTCTTGCATGAGGTAGCCACCCCATCACACCCTGCTATAATCAAGGAAGTGCTACCATATTACACATCTTTGCAGAACGTTAAACAGTAGTAGAGTGCTTTGGCTAACATAAGTTAAACTTAAAAGTGGACTGACTCTCTTATTTGCAAGTCTAGCCAGAAACATAGGAAACAATATCTAAAACAAACCTACTATTTGTCTGTAATGTGACTTTGAGGATATATGCAGCATTACAGAATTTGTTGCCACCACTTCATAAAAGCATCTTAGCAGCAACTAACAGAAGTTATGACAGGGAAAAGAAGTGGGAACCTTAAGAGTTAAATTCAGTGGTTCTATAAGCATAAGAATTTAGATGGAAGACCAATCCTGGTAAAATATCACTCCTTCTCAGTGTAAGTATTTTTTTATTTTAAGAAAGAACACAAGAGAAAAATGTTGCTTGAAAAATATAGCAATGAATACACAATTTTGTATTACATTGAGGCAGCCCTATATAATATTAGGGACACTCACCAAGGAGAGATAATTAACGTAGTGCTGACCAGACTAATTTCTGTATTGAGTTAAAGCACAAGACAATTATCCTAACTCACATCAGGCAGCTGTATAAAGTTAGCAACAAAGGAAGTTCGGCCTGTAACCACTGGCTCAAGATCCTGGCACAGGAAAGCATTTCATCTGATCCAGATGTTTATTTTCCTCAAAATGTATATTTGTGAACATTGTTTTCTACTACTGTTTCACAAATTACTTAATGAAATAAGTCACAAATTAATGTTATTTGATGTTGCGGACTATTCGCCTACAATGATTTGTTTTCATTTCCCCCAAGGCTTGTTCCAATTGCTGAATTAGGTGGAGCAGAGTAGCAGGGTCAGTTTGTAATATTTTGGTTGTCTGATCGCCATTTTGATCAAGGTGTAGCTTTATAGTGACAGCTGGTTTAATCTGTTGTCTCAGACTTCTGCTGGCAAGCTTTATGAAGATATTCAAATGAGATGAAATGGGGAAGTAAGGGGAAAAAAAGAAACAGTGCGTGTTAAAACAAAGAAATATGCTAGGAACCCAAGTGTCAATTTGGAACTCAACACTTCTGCAACTTTATTCATAGACTGACATATAGTTTACTCTTTCCATCTGTATCTAGTTTTATCATTATTAGATAATGATTGCAGTTTCTGGTTTAATCAAATGTAGTTTTTTGCAATGCTGTCATTTGACAATGCTTCATTATATATTACACCAAAGACTTTATTATTTAGTCTATTTTATTGTTTTTAAAGTTATCCTTTAATTTAGTATATAAATCTCTGACTGAACTCCACATTGTAACCGTGCATAAAACAATGAAATCATTTTGCAACATTAACTATATTCTTTATCTATCTTAAAGCCCACTGTCTTCCAATGCAGACTGGTAAATAAACATCTGCAAATATTTATATAAATGCAGATACTGCACCCTCAAGCATTTTAAAAAGACTGAATTAACCTTATGTTTTTCACAACAGCCTGTTCTGCCAAAATGTGCTAAAATGAAATTCAGATTATCTACTAAGACTAGGGTATGTTACCTGCACATCTAGTCTCCATTCAAGGCTGTGGTAACTGGGAAGCTTTGGGGCCAGTTCACCAAGAATGCTTCTGATCTCCTTTCTGTTGTCAAGGTAAAGCTGGAGCAATAATTTGTTCAATTCCTCTGAGAATCCCAGAACAAGTACAGAGTCTTGGAAGTCTATCTCAGAGATCTAGAAATTATCAATTTAGAATGTAATCAGGAATTGCACAACTGTTGTTGCTATTGCTCCCCGGAATCTATATATTACATTTTCTAAAGTCACATTACCTAATTACAATACCTTTCATGCAGAAATATAAGAGAGGAGTTCCATATCTAGAACCCATCAAACCTCTCACATGTTAACTAATGTATAAATGCTGATATGATATTGCTACCAACGTACATCAACTTCAATAATAATATTCAAAGGCAACTACTCAAATAAATTAAAAAGGGCAAAAAAAATGCTTAACATTTTGTATTTAATCATTTTGGTACACCTATTTGAAAGTAGTAAGAACCAAAATAACGTACCAATAGAAGGAGCTTATAACAATGACGAACTGGGCCTTGACCGATCCTAGTACATTTCTAGATATCAAATAAATTTATAAACTATTGTGTAGCATTATTATTAAAATTTTAAAGTACTCTGAAATTTCTAAAATGCCTATCTATGTATGTAAGCACTGGGTGCAACACCAGAGCTCACATTACATTAATCTAGAGTGGCCCTTGTACTTTGACAGTCCCAGATCAATGGTTTTCTACATGTATGTTTTATTTTATGGTCTGGTTCAGTTTCTATTATTCTGGAAGGAGTCATGTACTTGAGAGAAGAGTCTTTCTTTTGCACTGTTGCCAACAGCTTTCACATATTATAAGTGTTCCATGGCAAGCTCTATCCCATCAAAATGCCAAGAGAATTTATTTCATTTTTCAGGTCACCCTACTTTCCAAAGGAAGATATTTCACTCTATTCCAAGAACTGGAAGCAATACCAGAAGAATACAAGTGAACGAAGTTAACTCAGGACTACTAGACAACTGCTCCACTTATTTCATACATTTGCAATATTCAGGTATCCTCTTACTTCTTGAACAGTCTTCCCGATGGGAAGACAATTTATTACCCAGGTACCTCTCTTTCTTTCCTATTTGCCTGGATTCATATTACCTTTCATGGTGATTTAGTTAAAATCTCATAAACTAAGCAGCATCAGGCCAGTCAGACCAGTAGTAGCCTGGGTAGCTCCAAGGAACAACCAATAAGAGGAGTTAATCTAGTCTGTATTCAGTACAGCATTTGAACAGTATCAGAACTCAAAAAAGAGATTTCCCTTCACTTAAATTGGATAGTTTGTTTTTTAAAGCATTATTCCTCACTTTCTGTTCTTTATTGTTGTGTATTGTTGCTATGTGTTGTTAAAAAAGTTTAACTCCAGAGCCACTGAAATGCACATGCTAGGCAAAGTGAAGTGAGTCACATATACAGTGTTTTGGGATGCTTAATATTATGATACTATGTAAAAATGATGTTGCCTTTATACATACCCTTTCATTCTCCCATGATCAAGAAGTTGTCAAATTTTGAAAACCTGACTTGGGTCCCTTGTCTAAGTGTTTCCAGCATTGTAGGCATATTGTGGAAGCCTTTGTTTTCCAATAAAAAACTGGAGGACTTCTCTCAAACTTTTACCCCCAGATATATACTATCGCGACATTATCCTTACCATGAGCTTGGAGCTCTCAGTGAGAAGATATGTTAATCCCTCAACTCCATGCTGAATAACGTCACTATTAACATTAAGTTTTCCTGAAAACAAAACAGATATTCAAGACAAGGTAAGGTGTATCTGTCCAGGCTATAACACACATGGCATTTAAATACATAAATAAATAAATAAAATAATTTTAAAAAGCACAGCAGAACTAGTACTGACTTAAGCATACATTGCACGGTAAGTCACAATGGGGCCTGAAAGAACCCTTTAGAGTTTATGATATGATTTAATAAAGTAATATGCTCACTTGTGTATCACTTTTTAAATCTAACCAATGGTGACCAGATTGGCACTAGTGTTGCCAACTTTCAGACTTTGCCCTTTGGAAAGGGAGGCATTGTATTAAAGGGACACAAACACCTAAATTATTTAAACCACAGTTACAAGTATAATTTATGATTGCTATAGATGAAAGATTTAAAAAAGAAAAGTAGTGTTTTCAGTTGGTTTTCTTTATACATTTGATAATCCTTAGGGTACAGCTAATTTCATTCCTCCACCTCCCAGCTATAATCCACTAAACAGACAATTTTACCCTGATAGTTGGATAGGCCTTTCACAAAGCAACAGGAGACAGAAAAATATTTTTTGAAAACCAGGAAAACATTACTGTAAAACAACAAAAATTGGAAGAGAAATTCAGAAGCACCAGAAATTTATTTTGTTAATTGCATATTTCAAGTTGATGACATCTATTTAAGGCATCATGATGTTACATCTGTCCCAAATATATTTCTGGATTTTATATTGCTGCTCAACACTGTAGTACAAGGGAGGGGGTAAACTATGGCCCGTGGGCCGGATCCAGCCCGTCAGGGCTTTCAATCCAGCCCACGGAATTGCCAGTCCCATGGCGCAGCGGGGCTAAGACAGGCTCCCTGCCTGCCCTGGCCCTGCGCCGCTCCCGGAAACGGCTGGCACCACGTCCCTGCGGACCCCTGGCAGAAGGGGGGAGGTAGAGGGTTTTGTGCACTGCCCTTGCCTGCAGGCATCGCCCCCCGCAGCTCCCATTGGCCAGGAATGGGAAACCGCAGCCAATGGGAGCTTTGGGGTGGTACCCACAGGTGAGAGCAACGCATGGCAGTGCCGCCTACCCCACCCCCAGTAGCCACTGCTGGACATACTGGCCGCTTCCGGGAATGACGCAGGGCCAGGGCAGGCAGGGAGCCTGCCTTAGCCCTGCTGCACGCTGCTCCACCCTGGAGCCACTCAAGGTAAGTGGCACCGGAGCCCACACCCTGAACCCCTCCTGCACCCCAACCCCCTGCCCTGAGCCCCCTAGCCCCCTGCCCACACCCCTTCTTCACCCCAACCCCCTGCCCTGAGCCCCCTCCCACACCCCACACCCCCTCCTGCCTCCCCCCCCCCCCCCCTACCCTGCACCCCAACCCCCTGCTGCACCCCGCACTCCTGCACCCCAACCCCCTGCCCTGAACCCCCTCCTGCACTCCAACCCCCTGCCCTGAGCCCCCTGCTACACCCCACCCCCCTGCCCCAGCCCTACATTCATTGCCCTGCATACAATTTCCTCACCCAGATGTGGCCCTCGGACCAAAAAGTTTGCCCACACCTGCTGTAGTATCTAAGCAACTTCTATATGAAATTATCAGCAACAGCCAAGTCCCTAGTGGACTTCATGGAGTCTATGGCAATTCTCCCTTTTCAGGGTAAAATACTCCTTATAGCAGGGCATATGTTTTTGATTAATAAAATCTAAAATATCTAGGTTTTTTTACATTAGTGTTTTAAAAAACTCAGTTTTAACAATTCCCCTTCAGTCCAGCAAGGTCCTAGGCAGCATTACCCTTCTGCCCCGCTTCTCTCGCTCTTACTTGCGGCTCCTTCGTAGATTTTCGGGTTGGTGCCTTTTCTTAAGAACTCCACTGCGATACGGCCAAATTCACCAACAACTGCAATGAAAGGAGATTAAACGCTCTGCAGACCTGCCCAGTGACTCCTGTGCTTGGGGGAACTCTCGGGCAGTTCCGGCCTGTTGGGAGACGGGGCGTTTTGCAATGCCAGGGACACATTTCCCACCTCGGCCAGGCCTTTGCCAGGTCTCCCTCACTAACAGAGCTGAGGCGTGGCCCCTGCAGAAGACCCTGGGCTCCTAGGGGCCCCTCAACCACAGCGGGCTCCAGAGACGGGGTGATGTCAGGCGCTTTGGGAGCAGGGCAGAGGACCCTGTTTCAGTTTATCAGGGCAACAGACCCCACTTCGCTGCCCAAGGGGGGCCGCGCTCGTGCTGGGGGCTCGTGGGCTCGAAGGAGCCCGGCCAGGGCGGAGGAACAGTGCGGGGGAGCGGGGCAGGGCGAGCCGGACCTGCGCTGTCCACCTGGGTCAGGAAGCCCAGGTGCTCCTTGTGCTCCTCCGATAGCACCAGCAGCATCTTCCCCGCGGCCTCTCGCCTGCTCCGCTCCTAGGCCGGGCGCCTCCCCACGGTCAGCTGACCCGCTTCCCGTCAGGGTGGCTCCGCCAGCGCGCTCCGGCCGGCGAGCACAGCCCGGCACACGGGTTCCGGGGCTCCAGGAGCAGGGGAAAGGCCGGGCGGGGAGCGGCTCCTCTGCACGGAACGGGGGCTGGGCCTGCGTGTGCCGGGGACAATTCAATCCCCCACCCTCTGCTGCGGCCCGGCCCGGCCCCTTCGCCCCGGGCGCCCCCCAGGCCAGGCGGGAGGGTCCCACGCTCGCGGCCGGTGTCCAGCCCAGGAGCCCTAAGGCTCCCCAGCGCGCGTTAGGCCCCGAAGCGGGGTATCGGCGCCACAGGCACAAGGGTCTGTGTCCGCACAGCTAAGAGCCGCATCCGGATTTCAACCCCCCCCCGATAGCAGGAAGGTCTCCACGCCCGAGTGTGGGTCAGATTTATCGCTGCATTGCGGCCCCCCCAGAGCGTGGATTAACATCTCCGCAGTATTTAGGGAAACTGTTTCAGCGCTGCTACTGATTTATAATTTCGTTAATTCACACATTCAGGGTTTGATCCCGCAAAGCATGAGCTTAATCGAGTCCAGACAGTGCTTTACGCGTGCAAAGCGCTGTACGAGCCCTGCCCCTCACTAGTGACGAGCTAAACAATGGGTTTCAAACATTGTTAATATTTATAGGTGGTGTGTAGCTGTGCTTCACCTCTAGCTTTCAATTTACTGTAAATTATTCAAAAGGGAAAGGAGAGAATAAAGCAGCTAATACTTATTTGTGGGTGCCCTATGTAGGTGGGTGCACTAAAATTCCCACAGCTGGCAGATTTTATTTGGGAAGAAGTTCATTTAGAAATGGAAAAGGCCTGTGGATACCAAGTAATATATTTACAAATTTAGTTTAAAAGTCACCCATTCATAGATATTCCCCTCCCCCGCCAAGTTTTGACAAATCTGGTGAAGGCATAGGGTTTGCTTCATAGGCGTGGGCAGCCCATTTCATTAGGATGTGCACCCAGGGAGCCCTGCCCTAGCCCCGCCCCCACCCACTCCCTCCTACTTCCCGCCCCCTGACTTCCCCCCTCAGAACCCCCAACCCCCCCGCTCCTTATCCCCTTACTGCACCCCTAGGACCCTACCCGTCCCCTGACTGCCCTGACCCTTAACCACACCCCCGCCCCCAGACAGACCCCCGGGACTCCCATGCCTATCCAACCGCTCCCCGCCCCCTGACAGGACCCCCAGAACTCCCGACCCATACAACCCCCCCTCCTCCCTGCCTCCCCCAACCCCTCTCCACACCCCTGCCTCCTGACAGCCCCCCCCAGAACTCCCGACTTATCCAACCCCCCCAGCTCCTTGTCCCCTGACCACCCCCTCCAGAGACCCCCCCACCCTAACTGCCCCTCCAGGACCCTCCTTGCTCCCTGTCCCCTAACTGCCCTGACCCCTATCCACCCCCCGGGAGGCGGGAGAGGGGCCGGCGGCTTGCAGCGCTCGGCCGGGCGCTCCAGCCTGGGAGCGCAGACCCCGCGGCTTGCCGCGCCGGGAGAGGGGGCCATTTGCCCACCCCTACATTAGGGTGTGCCTGGGCACACCCGGCACACCCCGTGCGCACGCCTATGGTTTGCTTATCCCTAAATCCACTGTCCCCTCCAAAAAGGGCAGGAGGAAAACAATCAGCCTAATGTTCTTTATCGTTTTTCTGCCTGTTCCTTTTGTCTAATTTTAAACTATTGGAAATATTAATAAACAGAAAATAATATTCTAAATGAAAATGTTTCCAACTGGTCTGAGAGACTGCCTGGGATGAGTAGGAGAGGTTTTTGTTTAAACATATCACTCATCTACTACAGGGCTAGGAACTGTAAAAAATCCTATAATAGTTTCATTGTGGATGTCTGAAAAGAATTATATAAGCAAAATAGATCAGATTTTGATTTTACCAATGCTCTACAATGATACTCAAGTATCAGAGAGGTAGCCCTGTTAGTCTGGATCTGTGGCATCTTTGTGGCTTTTTATTTATTGATGACATTGTAATTCCTATAAAGTGCAGTCTAGTGTAATATGACCACAATGGGACCAATTCTTTCATGCCACAAAAACAATGAGGAGTCCAGTGACATCTTAAAGACTAACAGATTTATTTGGGCATAAGCTTTCGTGGGTAAAAAACCCACTTCTTCAGATGCATGGAAGAGGTGGGTTTTTTTACCCGTGAAAGCTTATGCCCAAATAAATCCATTAGTCTTTAAGGTGCCACCAGCCTCCTCATTGTTTTTGTGGATACAGACTAACACGGCTACCCCTCTGATACTTGGTTTCATGCCACAGTGGACAAACTGCCACAGATTTAAATGGGAGGAGGAGCAGATCCTAGATTTGTAGTTAAAAGGTAGTCACCAATTCGTTTTAAGTACAAGTATGGTATATAAATGTGCAGCATTGAAAATAAAGATATTATATGCTAATACCTGTCAAAAGAAGATATATAAGAAAAATGGAAATACATTGTAATCATTTTTATTTTTACAATTCTGTAGAAAAACAAACAATCTTATTTTTTGTGTGTGAGATTCATGTTGATATTGGTTGAGAAGAATACTGAGAAGTCAAAATCACAGGCAACATACAGTGCAATCAGTTGCTAGACCAACAAATGTATTCCAGTTGTTAATTTAATAGCTCACCTGTCCATCTTTTCTCTCATAGGAATGAGAGGAGCAGAGAAGAAATACACAGGAAGACACACATACGCATTGTTACTCCTGCTTCCCACAGAACCACTGACGATACTATCTCAGGGCATGTCTACACTGCCCTGCAGTTCAGACTACGAGACTGTGAACAGCAGTGCGCACCTAAGTCCTGTGCTGTAACTCTCCTGTGCAGACACTGTGGGAACAAGGTTCCCAGTACTTATTACCATAGTCCTGTTTGAAGAGGACTATATTAATGTAAATGAGAAACCTTTTTGCTTGTGCCTGCAGCATCCACATGGGGGAGTGGATGTGCACTGTTCTTTACAGCCCCACAGTCTGAGGCAGGCCAGGCAGTGTAGGCATGCCCTCAGACACGATTTTATCATTTTATATTTCAGGAAAGAATTTCAATCTGAAAGTGCTACCTGTATATCAGGGACATTTTGAGAGATGGAAATGATTTATTAAGCAATCTAGTCCATATGCCTGCCAATGCAGGAGATTTCATTTTATGAAATGGCAGGATTTTAAATGTGTGACCACTTTTTCTTTGTGTATTTTACAGTACTTCTAATTCAGTTCATGTGACAGAGTATGTAATAGAATATTTCACACTAACTGGGGTCCCTGTTCTTCTCCCATTTAAGTCAATGGTAAAACTATGATTTCTGTGGGAGACAAGTCAGGCTCTGTACACCAAAATGCTTTGCAGAGATAAGTAATACAGTTTCAGTTAGAGCCTGATCATGTTAACTCTTACTCATGCAAATAAGTCTTACTCATTCTAACATTAGCTGATCAAGTCAGTGGATAATCACCCCTATCATGTGACAAGGGTGTTAACTTTTTTTAACCCTTTCCCATATCAAATGACTGTGGTCAGACAATAAAGACCAGTCTCTTAGGCCAGGTCTACACTCAAATGTTAAGTCAATCCATCTAAATCACTCAGGGTGTCATAACTATAAAGGGAAGGGTAACAGCTCTCCTGTGTACAGTACTAAAATCCCTCCTGGCCAGAGACTCCAAAATCCTTTTACCTGTAAAGAGTTAAGAAGCTCAGGTAACCTGGCTGACACCTGACCCAAAGGACCAATAAGGGGACAAGATACTTTCAAATCTTGGGGGGGGGGAAAGGCTTTGGTGTGCTTTTTGTTAAAGGGGTTGTTCGCTCTTGGGACTGAGAGGGACCAGACATCAATCCAGGTTCTCCCCATCTTTCTAAACAAGTCTCTTATATTTCAAACTTGTAAGTAAAAAAGCCAGGCAAGGCGTCTTAGTTTTACTTTGTTTTCTCAACTTGTAAATGTACCTTTTACCAGAGTGTTTATCTTTGTTTGCTGTACTTTGAACCTAAGACAGAGGGGGGTCCTCTGAGCTCTTTAAGTTTGATTACCCTGTAAAGTTATTTTCCATACTGATTTTACAGAAATGATTTTTACCTTTTTCTTTAATTAAAAGCCTTCTTTTTAAGAACCTGTTTGATTTCTCCTTGTTTTAAGATCCAAGGGGGTTTGGATCTGTATTCACTAGGAGTTGGTGAAAGGAAGGAGGGGGGAAGGGTCAATTTCTCCTTGT